TACTAATGAGATGAAACACATCAGGCCATGATATATATCCATATCCTTACTCCTTAAAAGTTCAGGCCAGCATTTGGTGCAACCCGAAGCAAACTTTTTCAAGCACATCGGTGATTAGGTAATTTTTCTCTTCAGCTATTTAATTTTTCTGAAGCTCGTCTCTTGAACTGAGTGCATTAATATTAAAGTTTGCAAAATGGCAACCTTGGAGAAGGGTACGCTTTGACTTTGCCCCTTTCAGAAGTGACTCCATCAGTAGCTGCAGCGTGTGATGCTCAATCGGCTGAATAACAATGACGATGATGAATATTTATCGAGCGCTTAAAATATGCCAGTGCTGTGTCAAGCACCCTACATGCTTTATTTAATTTCTACAAAACACTGTGCAACAAATATTATCTTTATTCCATAAATGAAAGAACTTTGGCTCAGAAAATTTAAGTAAACTACATAAAGTCTCACATCCGAGAAATGGTTTAATCAGGATTCAGAGCCACGGAATCTGACCTGAAAGCCCATACACTTACCTAGTTTTCTCTCTGATGAATGGTATATTTTAACTGATTATTTTATGGGCATAGGCAAGTTTTAAAAGACATTAGATTTCTCATTGCTACAAGTACTAGAAGAAATTCATATATATATATATATATGTATATATATAGCAACTACTGTGTACTAGGAATTGTTGTAAGCACTTTATGTAGATTAGCTTTTCTATTTCTATTACCCTCGTGTTCCTACTGAGAAAAGAGTAGCACAGAGAGGGTAAGTTTTCCAAAGTTACCCAAATTAGAATATAGTAGAGCTGTAAGACACAGTACAAGGATACCAGATTTATGTCTGACCATGTCAGAATCTGCACTTGTGACCACTATGAAATCTTAAAATAACATATGGTGCCCATAATTCTGTCACTCTTCCTGTTTTGGTGACAATGTGATGACAAAGTAATGAAAAAAGATGACCTGAGAAGCATGGTTTGTTTCAACAGATCAAATTTATTTCCAAATACTTCGGGACCTAATCTACAAATGGTATTCTGAGGTTAAAAAGCTCCGAGAACCAAGACCTGTCATGTAAAGGTACAATATCCCATTAATGTAACGGTACTGTATACCTAAAATGTACCAATAAACTCAATGAGGAAAAAAAGTTAAAAAAAAAAAGCTCAGAGAAAGAGGGCAACCACTAATGTGCAATTACATGGCTCTAGTTTGCCATCTGCTTTTCCTGTTTACTACAAAAAAAGTGAGTGAATAGCAGCCACTAGTGTATTCCACAAGCTCCAGGATCACAGAAACAGGATTTTTTTTTTTTTTTTTTTTTTTGTACTGGGGATTGAACTCGGGTCCTTGTGCTTGCAAGGCAGGCCACTGAACCACTGAGCTAAATCCCCAGCCCATTAGATCTATTTTTTTAAACAGACTGGTTTCAAAAACTGAGTACAGTGTTAGCAGCGAGTAACCACTCAATAAATTTTTATTGGATAAACGTTTTTAAAATTCTGTCTAAGCACTTTCTATTTCTTTTTAGCACTTTCAAATTTTTGAAGGCCAGAAGAACGTTAGAGGAAGCGAGGCACCTGTCTTGCTACAAAGGGAGGGAGCATCAAAAGAAACTCTTCTTGGGCCTGGGGATTTAGCTTAGTGATTCCACAGCCTGCCTTACAAGAACAAGGACCTGAGTTTGATCCCTAGTAACAAAAAAAATAAATAAATAAAAATTTTAAAAAATAAAGATACTCTACTTGCTTCAGGGTCCAATATAGTTCCACACAGCGTTGTTACTGATCCTGTATATTTGTGTGAAATTTTTATATTTTTACTCGGCATTAATTATTGCTGGATTACTTTGCATTAATTTTGTCCTGAACCTGACTACACACAATCTGCCTGTCACTTTCCTGCCACTTTCCATAGTTGTTTTACTATGTATGGATTACTGAAAGCTTCCTGTGACTCAGTTTTCTCTTTGTTTAAGTGATACAAGGAGTGAATGGGACAATATAGGCACAATCCTTAACTCAGTGCCTGGCACATAATTGTTACTCAATAAAGGTTACTCCTTCCATTCTTTGCCAAGAGAAGTGTCTATTAAATCTTTTCTTTATATGGCTAATCATTTCATTTAAATTTTGTTCTCTAAGAAAATATAGCAGCAGTCCTATAATATCCATCATTCAAATTGGCTATTTCCCAACAAGACATTGTCTTTACGACGGCAGGTTGGGAGTCGACTCAGAAAAGCCATTCAGGAAAAAAGGCAGCCAAATATTCTTTTTCAGGTCAGACACACTAATACTCTTCGTGGTATAGACCTTATGGTTTCAGAAGCCCGACAGACAACAACACAGACAAAGTAGAAATTCTTTTACCAGACTCCCTGGGTTAATCAACGCAGACGGGCAGCCAGTGCTATGGATGCCGAAGGCTTTCAGGTGACTTTCAAGGCCCACACATTTGACCTTCAGAAAGGTTCATGCACTTCTGTACTAGATGCTTAGGAAGAATGCACTTGTAATTAAATAGCAAATTTAAATAGATACGGCTAAGAAAAATGAGTTCAGAGGGGAAAAGTTGGTAATCCCCTAAGAACTATGTTGAATGTTCTGGGGGAATTCTGTAAGACCATACAGGTGAAGAAAAAACACACAAAAAATGACTCTGGCAAGAAATCTGTCTTCCTGGGCTCACAGGTCAGTAGAGGATTCCAGGTATGAACGCAATTCTGATAAAAGGTGGAAAGTAGTGAATGCTATAAGAAAATGACATCTAAATTTCTGTGAATTTGTTACAACTCTAATATCCCATTGGAATAAGAGGTCAATGTAAATGTTATTAAACTAATGTCTATAATAATCAAGAAGAGCCTAAATGCAAATAAAACCAATGAAACATACATTGTTGGAAGGTAATGAGCAATTTTTTAAAACCTTATCTATGATTCCAATCTTATAAAACTTGGAATTGGATCTACCTATAATTTCCCATGACTTAATAAATCTATTTGGACTTTTCCTGAAGAATTTAGTGAGTGTGGCTTATTGGCCATTGAGCTCACCTTGTTCCAAGTCTGATTTTGCCCTTCAGGAGGGTGGTTCTGAGCTCATTACCAAACCCCTCTGACTCTCAGTTTTCTCTAGTGTAAAATGAGAAACGGTAACACATATTTTGTGGGGGTATTGCGAGAGCAAACTAATAACTGAATTTATATATTTTGCAAATGGGAAGAGGAAAAAGAGCTGGAGGGAAGGGGGAGGGAGAAGAGGGGAAGAGGACTTAAAGGAATGAAGATGTGTTACATCCACGTACCAACTTCCCACAATGAATAAAATCACTACATACTGCAAGCATGTACTAATAAAAACAAATTTTAAAATTAAAGAAAGAATCCATGTCAAGTGCCTGACACTTGGTCATTACCCTTCTCTGCCTTGAGGCAGCACGCCCAAGGGTTTAATTAAAGCTTTGGGTTTCTGCCCCTCGGGAAACAAAAAACTTTTGTGTCATAATTAATGGAAGAAGTCCAAGAAACTGACTATCATAACTTCATACAGGAATAGAACATGCAGGAAAAGAATGAGCTGACACCTTTTTCAAACTCCTAGGCTCATTTTCTCCCTAAATTTAGAATTTTGCCACCTTGAAAAATGGCACAACATTGCCATCTGGTGGTACAATTGCTGAAAAGAAAATCCTTTGTATTTAGGAACTGGAGCCATAGGAATCCTTGTGAAAAGCATCACTACTTTAAAATTTTTTTAATGTTCAGAACCACCCACTCAAAGCAAGACTTAATTAGTAGCGAAGTACCAACTTCTTTAATCACAACAAACCTACTAAAAGAACCAAGCAATGCGTGTCCCACCTTCCCCCCTAGTATTTACTTAACTGTATTGTGGTCTCAATGGTCAAAACTTGCAGTCAGCTGGGCGTGGTAGTGCCAGCCTATAATCCTAGCACCAGGAGGCTGAGGCAGAAGGAAGACAAGTTTGAGTAGCTTAGTGATTGAGCAAGACCTGGTCTCAAAATAATAATGTTAAAAATAAATACATATTTTAGGTGTGTATGCTAGCGAGGTAGCTCAGTGGGAAGACCCTGGATGAACCCCCCTGTCTCCAGTAGTGGGGGAAAGGGAGGGAGGTGGAGGTACAGTTCAGTGATAAAGCACTTGCCTGGCATGTGCTGGGTCCAGCACTGTAAATAATAAAATTAAGTTGCATATGATTTCAACGTGTAAAGCCTAATCAGCCCACCCCTAAGGTCATTGGAAGGAAAACAACTTGTTTCCAGCCAGCTACTACACTGAAAATAATCTGATTAATTTACATTATGTTATGAAAAATTCATACTGCAAAGTCATTCCAAGGCAGATTTACATTTTAATCTGTTTTAATATAGATGCTATATTACTTGGTATTTCATTTTACTCTGTACTTAGTTAAGAACACAATTGTTTAAAGCAGTGCCTTTCAAGCTTTGGTACATACTAGAATATACTAAAGGGCTTTGTAAAGGTGAAAACATCGGGCTCCATTGTACGCTCTGAAAATGTGGCTGGGGGGGCACTGCAGATGAAAGCCAAGGCCTTTACACTGACCTATCCCCAGCAATCACCACCACCCTTTATTTTTAAGACAGTTTTTGCCAATGCTCTAAATTGTCTTGGAAGGATTCAAACTTGCAATCAATCCTTCTGCCTCATCCTCCCAGAGTGCTAGGAGGCATGCACCACCCTGCCCAGTGTTATGGCTTTGTCTATATGTGTCCAGAAGCCTCCAGAGCTCAGAGGTGGGTCCTTTGGAAGGGGCTTAACACTGTGGCTGACTTGCTATTCAGAAGTGGAGTCCAGTTTGATGAGGGCAGTCACCGGGGACTTGGCCTGGAAGGGTTCATCTCCATCCCTGCTTCCTCCCCTGACTCTGCTTCCTGTCCAGCCTTCCACGGCAGCCCTTCTCCGCCATGCCTCTCCCCCATACCATCCTTCCTAATGACCACGGACTGAAATGGGAGCCAAAATACACCTCCGCTTCCTTGAGCTGTGGGTATCGCATGTGTTATCCCAGCAATGAGGAAGTAACGAAGAGACCCAGCTTCAAAAACGTGGATTTCTAGTGAGTTCCCAGAGGCTACAACATTGCAGGTGCATCAATTACACTTTGAGAACTCTGGACCAATCCCTACTGATAGAATTTCACACTGAGACCCTGCTGAGGGAGACTTTCACAAACTCTGCCGGTGTGATCAGCCACATTTCTGAAGTTCAGCCACTCTTATCATTCTCACCGCCTTTTCAGTGCCCAAGAGGCCATCATCTTTCTCCTCTCTGCCACAACCTCCATCAGGCTTCCTATTCCTTAGTAGATTCTCCAAGGGGAAACTAGAGGAGTCAAAAACATATCGCCATCAAATCCCCCATGCAGTTTCCCACAGACCTCAGGACCTAGGTTGAACATGACTTTTAAGGCTCTTAAAGAGTCTAACTTAATGCCCACCCCAACTGTAGCCAGCCCAGAACTTTACTCATTGTGCTTTCTAGCCCAGTCTTTCTCAAACCTGGTCCCCAGACTAGCAGCACCAGGGCCACCTAACAATTTATTAGAAATGCAAACTTTCAAGACCTCAGAAATCTCCCGAGTCAGAAACTTCCAGGGTAGCCAGGTGTGGTGGCACACGCCTGTAATCCCAGCACTCAGAAAGCTGAGGCAGGAGGAACACTGTGAGTTTGAGACCAGACTGGGCTACATAGTGAGTTCTAGGTCAGTCTCAACTACATACAAAAAACAAACAAAAGAGAAAAAAGAAAAAGAAACGACTGGGGTAAGGCCTAGCCATGTGCCTGTAACAAGCCTCTGGGTGATTTTGATGTAGCCAATGCATAAGAACCATGACCTCAACCTTTCTCAACCATTTCTCCAACAGGCCACATCATCCCTCCTACTGCCAGTTTTGGACATGCCTCCTCTAAAATATTCCAGCCCTATCCCCATGCCATCATAATCCCTCACTGGTCCTCAGGTTTTATATCCTTTTCTCCAGGATAATTTCCCTGAAACTCAGTCTAGGTTTGGGGTCCACCTTAGGGTTTTCTAGGCACTGGGTACTTCCCTTAGCACATAAGCCATTACATGTAAACGTATACTGAGTGTTCTCTTCTTCTAATCCCAGTCTGATACTGACTGCTTTCTCCTATGTACAATGTATCTCACACTCCTAGGACAGGGCCTGGCTGGGAATAGGTGTTTCAAACTTGTTGGTTGTGGAATGAATGAACAGAGAAATGAATGATTAAGTACAAAAACAACTACTGACCCCACTGGGTCCTTTATCTAAGACATAAGAGGTAGGTTCTTATAGTGAGCTGAATAGTGGTGCCAAAAGATACATAAAAATCCTCACCTGGGTATTGATGAGATAATTAAAGTACGGCTCTTGAGCCAGAACATTCTGGATATGGAGGAATCCCTACTTTCAATGACTGATGTCCTCATAAGAGATGAGAGATTTGAGAAGAGGAGAAATAAGAAAAGGCCATGTAAAGACAGATGCATAGACGGGAGTGGAAGGCCAAGGACCCCAAGGATTATTAGCCACCTGCAGGAGCAGGAAGAGAAGAATAGAACTGTTTGTCACTCAGAGTCCACAGAAGGAGCCAACCTCCTGCAAGACCTTGCTTCTGGACTTCCGGCACCCAAGGCTACGAGATATTGAATTTCTGTTGTTTCAAACCACCAGTGCTGTGGGAAATTGTTTTGGAAGTTCTAGGAAACTAAATGAGCCTTGAAGTATGAGCTGGAAGTAAGTTGTTAGACCACAGAATTAGAAATAGTAAGAGTATACCATAGGGCTGTGGATGTAGCTCAGTGGTGCCACCGCCTGCCTCACAAGCACAGCAGACTTGAGTTCTATCCACAGTACCAAAAAAAAAAAAAAAGAGTATACCATAGGCTAGAGGTGTAGCTCAGCAGTAGAGCACTTATTTAGCATGCACAAGCCTTTGGCTTCCATCCTCAGTGCCATGGGAGAAAAAAAGAGGAAGCTGGGAGGCAGGAGACAAGAAAGGGTTTTTTTCTGCAGTTTTGCCACTTTCTGAGTTGGGATAACAGCTGCTGCCAAGATTTCCTCACATCACGTTGCTTTTGTATCCTGGTCACTTTCTACTCTAGTCAAGCGGGCAGGGCTTCTCTAATTACACAGCTTTAACTCCCTCCCATACTGTCTAATGTCTGAATATGCTAGATTGCTGCACTACCCTGTAACAAGCGAGCAAAAGGCACCCACTACACCTGCTACTTATACTCACTGAATTTCCTTTCTTTTCTTTTTTGGTACTGGAGATGGAACTCAGGACCTTGCACTTGTGAGGCAGGAGGTAGAACCACTGAACTAACTCCCCAACCCTCGCTAAATTTCCTATAGTGTGAGTAGCTGAATCAGGGCAGATGTGCGTCCTCTAGTCCTTTACACATCAGTCACTCTATTAAAAAAAAAAACAGCTGAAAATGCAGCTTTGGAATAAGAATCACTTTATTATTTTATATCAGTTTTTAAAATTATTTTCTGATACTCCAGAGCCATGCAAAAGGACTAGAGGCATTTTGGACTTCCTTTTAAGAGGGCAGATTGAATGTGTGTATCAATTGCCAATACTAAAACAACAGTAAAATAAATATTAAAAGTCTAAAACCAAAGTGCAAAGAGAATGGAAGAAGAGACACTGGGGAAGATATTAACACATCTTTGGAAGACGAAAAGTAAATGGAAGAATGGTAACATCAGAGCTGCAGAAGCTTCAAACATGAGTTCCTGGAAGAGGACTGTCTTTCCAAGAAGAAGGTCTATTCAGTCAAAACAACTCAAGAAAAATAAAGAAAGAGGGGCAGGCATTTAGCTCAGTGATGTTGTGCCTGTCTTGCAAGCTGAAGGTCCTGAGTTCGATCCCTGGTACTGCAAAAATAAAACCACAAAA